AAGAGTAAACATTTATATTATTATTTGAATTTATAGAACTCAACTGTCATCATTCATAAGAAATGAAATAATTTCATCAGACGTTTTTTTTTCAGTTTTTTACATTAGCTATTTTAATATTTAATAAATGTTTTTCAATAAAGCATCTTTTTTACTGACGATAGCAGTTCAGTGAATAAAATTTGGGTACTGGCTTAGATATAGTCTTCAATATGTGTCTTCAAATGAATGTTTACCTCGAGATACTCAAGAAAATATTTCAAAAAGTCATCGCTAGAATAGTATTTATCGTACAGTTTCACATGTTACAGGGTATTCAATTCTTGACCTGAGATAATATTTCCATCCGTAGACTTGGTTTGCTGAACAAATAGTTTAGACGAGTTTTCAGTTATTACAATTCTGTTATCTTCTATTATGTAACATCCAAGCAAAGAAGTGGCGACATGCATACACTTGGAAATGAGGCCTCGTCATATATGTAGATAGGGTTCCTCTGAAACAGACCATGAATGAGCGATATTGAAGAATCCAATGACTCTTAAAAAAACAACAATTAGTGATCCAGTCTATATTCATCTGTTAGATGCGGTGAAAATCACCATGCCGAATGGTGCACTCTCCTACAGCCATTCGGTGAGATGACTCATATATTTTGTTGCTTTTTATTCCTCAGAGGTCATGTTTGTTTTTTTCTTGCCTTGTCTCTCATAATGTTACTCCATAATATACTTCATTGCATATAGTTGCACAAGTCTTGTGCAAGCTATACTCTCATTCATAACCTCACCGTTTTTTGATTACTACTTCGACACACTGGTATTATTTTCTCTACAGCATTTCTCTAGAAACAACTTCTTCCATTACAATGACAGCCCCCGCTGACAAGTTTCAGTCATCCTATGTATCAAGAGACTCTGAAGGCTTTGTGAAGAGTTTCACTCTTTCAGATTACGACTCCCCAGAAGCTAATGAGACGCGCAAATTTTTCGAGCAGTTCGGCTTCGTAGTAATCGCAAATGTCTTCATACCAGAACAGTATAAAGACACGATCTCGGACATTTGGAATGTGATCGAATCTTTCGTGGGACAACCTATACGAAACGATGAAAAACTTTGGAGCTCAGAGTAAGTGTCTCCTAAATTAACTTTTTGTTATTTACCATCTACTCTATTGTTTTAGACTCTGGCGTAGGGCGGGTATTCCACACGAGGGCATCATTGGTGGTGCCAGTCTTTGGGCTCGGCAAATGTTGCTGAATCGACAAACACCAGCTTTGCATACCGCTTTCGCAACCATTCTGGGAACGAAAAAACTCCTAGTTAATCAAGGCCGCTATGGAATGTTTCGACCTGCCAAGAAACATCCCGAGCGAACAACAATGACTAATCTTCAATTGGACATGAATCCATGGAGATATTTCAAAGGTTTGCTTTATTTTCTTTTGTATAGTTCAGGATCATTTCTGATCTTTGCTCTAGATAAGGACAAATCGCATTAAATCAAAGTTCTTACTTCATTGCGCTATAAATACGGCCATGATTGGATCATGAAGAATAACAAGCCTGGCTGTGACACAATCGGAGAGCGACATGTATAGGGTCTAGTCAATCTTGCTGATAATTTAGAAGAAGATGGTGGTTTCTGGTTAGTTCCTGGCTTCCATCGCTATCTATCGAAGTGAACGTCCGAGCACCAAACATTGAGCTCCAGTTATGGTCTCTGCTTGACGTTCAATCTCTTTCGCGAGAGCGACATTCCGGAGCTTTATGCCACAGCTTGCCATATTTCTAGTCGCGCTAGCTCAGCCATCCTTTGGGATCAACGCATGATGCATGGATCGCGAGCCAATCGTAGTCTTCGCTCAATTTTTCAAAATGTTTCCTGTCGAGTATCCTGCTATGACACCGGAACGAGCTGATAATCGACCTAAGGGAATTTTAGCTAAGCTTCAAACTGTTGATATTGATCCAGAAGTAGATCTCACTCTCTTGGGACGGCAGCTATTTGGACTTGTAAAGTGGTCTGATTGAAAAAAAATAGTGAAGTCAAGAAAAAGACAGACAAACACGACTGAATAATTATAATTCAAACGATTCTTTGAAAATGAAGCTCAGTAACTTATAAAACTGATTAGATCCACTTTTATATGTTAATAAAAGATTGCCAAAAAAGGTTTTTTGCATACACTTGAACCAATAGAATTTATGTAATTTTAGGAAAAAATTCGCTCGTCACTATGGAGTTCATACGTCATTTGCACACCAATGCTCACGATTTTTGTCACATTCGATGTCCTCGAACTTTGTTGTAAAGTTGGGCATCTAATAAGATGATTCAAAATCTTTCCAAAATTTCCTATGAGCATTCTTCAAATGCTCTCTGACTCGAAAAAGTTGTGAGTCTACTTCTCAGTTCTATGTTGGAAAATTCCTTCAAACAATATAAAAAAAAAACAAATAACGACTTGTTTAAGAAAGCTTTCCTTGACTTTTGAGTGAAGCCGATCATCATCCCATAAATGTTACTTGAGGAACACGTCCTTATGTGATGTGAGGCTAGTCGATGTTTGAACATCGAAAATTTGGTGTTGGCTGTTATGTCCGTCATAGTTTTCGAGATATGATACACTTTCCCGATGAAACTTGACTATTAAACAACAATTTGAAAGCAAATGAACGACTCAATTCCATCAATGCATTCTTCATGAAGTATAGTTCATCGTTTGTACAAATTCATCTTGATCACCTCTATTTACTTGATGTCTATTCTATTGGTGAGAAACTTATTATATTCTCCCTGGAGGCTTATTTTGTTGACTAATTTGCTTACTGTCAACACATGCCCAACTTGTTAGATACTATTATACATGTAGATTGAAGAATGTTGGTATAGGTACAGACTTGAACGTTGGTTGCTAGATGAAGAGGAGACCCATAGCCACCCTTCCACATATATGCATCTTTTTTTTTTAAATTTCCCATTCGATTGGACTAACTGAATGTTTTTATTTTGCATTCATGATAAAAGTCTGATCAGCAGATCTTTCTTAGTTTATGCCCGATATACATAGGCCATGGAGAGGTCAAAACAGCGATCTAAGCTGACGAGGGAAGTTCTTTGGTATTCGTGAGAAACCGCGACTTTATGCTACAAAATACTGCAATAATGCAGTATCTCAAAAGCAATAAGCTAACAACATGAATTCTTTACGATCGACTTGATACATACTATCTCTGCTCAAAAGCAATGAATCAGTTAATGAATTACTGTCATTAGATTATATTGAAACATTAATTCATGATATTTAGAAATTATCGTTCTACTACAAGTGATTATGCCTTGTTTAGTGGGTTACTAATTATATTTCATAAAAAACTATCATAGAAGATTAGTTCATGGATTAAGTTTGACATTGATTGAAATAATGAAAATATGAATTTTTGACTTTTATTTACTTATATATTGATTCATAATAGATTGGGATTTGCTTTCGTCAAAAATACAACTCAATTTCTTGTCATTAATAGTCTTCATGTTGAAAAAAACTTCAATCATATTATAGTTTGATTCATAAGTTTCGAAAATATGAGAAAGAAAGTATGATGTAAAGGTAGTGTTGTTTTATCTTTTAAACTAAATTAAAGTGCTACGAGCATATTTTTAGGTAATTTTTTTTCTGCACACCTTTTGCAGTTCTTTTCGCTCTATCGAACTCGTAAGAAATTATTGTCGATCACAATGTTTTTAGATATTTTTTTTCCTAAAAATACTGAGAAAAAGCAAATAATATTCAAAATTATGATGCATTTTTTTGTCATTGTTCGGTTATTCGTCCTCAACAGATATGTTTAGAAATTATTTAAGAAAAATATAAATATACAATTTTTTAGAGTAAAACTTGTTCTATCTTTTTGATATATTATTCAAACTGATTTGATTGACATTCAGGAAGAAAAAGGATCACATACTGAAAACAAGAAAAGACAAAAAAGGCATGATAATTATTTATAGATTTTTACAGGACACACGTTCAATGGCTCATTTGTATCGGCTCAAAAATTATTTAGAGAAGGCTCAAATTCTGAATTTATAGATTTTTTTAATATCTTCGTTGATTTGCGACGATTAACAAGATAAGTCAAAATTTTTCCCATGACACCATATTACAAGTTGTACTGAAAAATTTTTAACAAAATAATATTAATAGAACTACGAAGAATATCTTTTGTGATAGATTTACTTTTAATTAATTTCTAAAAGAAAAATGTTGATTTTTTTTTGAATGCTCTATGAAAAACATGATTCGCAAGAGAATTTAATATAATATTAAATCATTTAGAGAACTTTGTTTTTTGTGTATGATTTCTTTTATTTGTCTTGTCAAATAGAATAATTATGAAGTGAGTTAACAATTTTTTATTTAAAAAGTTTCGGTTTTTCTTTCTTTCAATATGCATTAAGAATAAAAATGGTCAATGATTCATATTAGTAGACGCTCTATCCCATGTGTTTTTCGTCTAATAACAATTTTGAATCAATTTTTTTATCGTTTCTTTCAACATAAAATGTATTGAGAAGATGTTTGAAATCTTTGTTTGTTCTTCGTGCAAGCATCCATCAACGTGAATAAACATGAATTGTTGCTTATTACCAATGAGAAAGAAATATATCAAGACTAAAAAAAAAAAACGACTCAACCATTTGTATTTTACATTTCAATTGTTAAACAGACATATACGATGCTTTTCTTTCAAGTGTTTTTGTCAGCTTTTTTTACTTACTGTTAATGGTTTGTTTAATTTCTGATTTTTAATATTATTTATTATGTCTATGATCAATACGTCGGTCAAACTATTCAATCATCAAGCTACTATTGCACTGAAAATAATTTTACTATCGAGTTTAATCTTCTTCTTCATCTTATTCTGCAAAGGAATCTTCATCAAATTGTGCTCTCGCACTGTGCACTAACAATAATAATAGTTGTCGTTCATCGATGACACCGTGTTTTGATTATCATACAACTGATAATGTTAGTTATTGTGCACTTGCTAGTCTTTGTTCAATCTTAGAATCTTGTAACAATACGACGGGTACATGTGAATCAAATAGATCTGTATGCGTTAGTAATTCATGTTGTACACCAAATCAAGTATGTTTACCATTGTTGTGGACAATGTTACGTTCGTCATCATGTAAATTATTTATAATAAACATTTTTAAAATATTGAGTAGAAAATTCTAGCAAACACCGACAATATAACAACACATGATCAAGCACTGACATTTCAACAACAGCAATGATGACACAAACATCTTCAGGTAGCAAAAAATAATTTTTCCTATGAAACGTAGTTTACATATAATCCTAAATAACTTAGTGAGGTTCAATTGAGAAAAAACAATACATGTTCGTTAATCCCTATTGAAAGGAAACGGGAATTTATTTTTATTTTTCAATATTGAAAAGTTTTTCTTCTCTGTGAAAGCACAACAGAGAGGATCATAATGATTTCTACTTAGATTTGGAAAATGTGTATTATAATGACAACCATAAATATTTTTATAAATTTCAATAATAACTTCTTGATCAGTTTCATTCTTTAAGGAGTATCATGCCAACATACATTTTCAACTATGGTTACATTTATAACAAATACAAGTCCAGTAGCTATCAATAGTGGTGGTTTTAATAGCGATAATCATCCAGATATTGTCGTTTCAAGTTTGAGTAATCGTACAATTACTGTATTTCTTGATTATAGTAACGGTAGTTTCGTAACCAATCTGACATTGGCGACTAGTCGTAACCCATGTTTACTTGTTACCGGTGATTTTAATCATGACAATCGAACAGATCTCGTCATTAATCATTCTGGCGACATTATTAGTGTATTTTTTGGTGATGGAAATGGTAGTTTTCCAGGAGAAGCATTTTTTCGATGGGCTTCACTGCACAAGCATTCGCTATTAGTGATTTTAACTGCGATAACCAAACAGATATCGTTGTCACCAGTTTTTACGGTAACACTGTGAATGTATATCTAAGCTATGGTAATGAAAGTTTTACATCACAAATAACGTTTGCAACTGGTATAGGGCCATCTGGAATCGTTCCTTGTGATTTTAATAGCGACGGTAGACAGGATATTGCTATAAAAAATAATGGTAAAGCTAGTGTCGGTATTTTTTTTTGAACGCTTGGCATTAATTTATATAGTGTTATCTTAACTTTTTCGTATTTTTTCAATTGTTTTTTGAATACCTTGATAAATATTTCCGAGAAGATCTAATATGGCTTTTATGATTTGTAACATATTTTCAGTTATATTCGTGGCAAATTTTTCAAATACTAAACAAGAGTCTTCTCTACACATTCAACGATCAAGGAGAGTATTTGGTAATACATTTATTTAATTTAGCAAAAATGTCTTTAAGAAAAGATCAAGATATTTTGTTGTATTAACCTACTGAAAACTGTATTTAGCCGAGAATTTTCGATTGGTCTATCTGACATGGAACACAGTTACCATAATTATCAAGAAGACGTTTAAATATTTCACATAGTTGCATGACCAAGCGTTACAGAATTTCATTTTTTTTACACTCTAACATATTTATTATTGATGATAAAAACAAATTCTTTGAAACTTTTATTATCAATAGAGGTCATTTTGAGTCACTATTGGGAAAAAATTCATTAGTTTTACTTCAGCTGAAGTTGAGCTATTTCGAAAACACCACCCTTTACGAAATTTCAAAAAATGGCATTTGTTTTCTGTGAAGCCAAGAGTTTGAAGTTCTACTACCGAACGATGCAACATACAAATAAATATGTCATATAGGAATTGTTCAGTTTTTAACGAGTATAACTGCATCGAATAACAAACTAAAAATAGTATTCGTCAGGGAGTTTCATCCTTCTCCCGAAAATCACACATTGGATCAGAGTGAAGGCAAAAAAAGTTAAAAGCAATCAAATATTCATCGCCGGCATCGGATTTCACAACCTATGATGTGTTTTTCAATTTTTTCGATCCGAGAAATTTTCAAGAAAAATAAAAGTTGAAGTTTTTATTCAGAATTCGACACTAAATCTTAATATGTGCACAGTAATAAACAAAAACAGTACAAAATCTTTAAATGTCTCAAAACACCATAAAATTCAGATTCTAAAGAGTATGCGGATGTGGATGGGTGTTCTCTAAATCCGTACCCATATCCACACTCGCAGACATACTCACACCCACATACACTCTTACAGATATATGGTCTATTAAATATGTATGAGAAGAATTCTCAAGTTTCAAATCATTAAAAACTCTATGAACGAAGAACAGAGAAAAAAATAACTTGCGATGATTGATAAAATTCCTCATAGACTTGGCAAAGTGATAATTATTGATGGAAAACAAATACATAATATTTTTTTTTCTTGTTACAGAACACATGTTTCTACTAAATAAAATGGATTTTGTTTTTGATCGATTTCGAGATTTTAATTATGACATTTGTTCTGTTCATATCACTATTATTAAAAGAGATAAAATGCCATTTAAAAATCATCCTAAGTACTAGAAGCTCATATAGATATAGTTGGATAAGGATTTCTCTTTGTTGATATATAAACTAATTTTCATTGAAGGCCAGAGCTTGTGGGGCATCCTTTATGAACACTGTTTCTATGTTTGAGTCAATTATTCTTTTTTAATATTGTAAATAAACTAGATAATCTACACTTCAGATGAATGAGGGTATGGATAGGATGTGCCTGTGTCGGTGGATATCGATAAATGAAATGGTCACATCTCACACTCAATATCAATCCACAAAAGATAATATCAAAACAAATTATCAAGCATCAATGCATCAAATTACTTACATAATTAAAAATATTTCAAAGTTTAGAAAAGAATAGAAGTTCTTCAAGGCTTCTTACTAATTCCTCTTCAGATCATCCATTGTTACACAAAGAAGTACTCATATGAAACAGTTCTCTTCTTAAACTCACATAACTCATTATACAGCATCTTATGCCAAGATCTCATATGTATTCTATAAAATACAATCAAAAATTTTCTCATATCAATCAAATCTTTTTTTTGTTGATGATTTTCCTTCTAAAACATTTCCAGTAATTATATGGATTCTCATAGTAAGCTTAATACAATAGACATAATATTTTTATTCTTAGTGCTTGCTCTTGAACAAATAGTACATGACAGCAATCTTCCAATTTTTGATATATTTTCTTGATCCAAGTTATGCATTCAGTAATCATTTTAGTTTATCATCAAGTCTTATAACAACTAACATAAGTAATTCGTTTATTTCTTAAGATGCAGCTGCATCCCATGGTTCTGATTGTTCATATAATATTCGTACAGATTATATTGTTTCTTGTATACCATGATTTAATAATTGTTCAACAAAAAACAATAGCTCTTCAACGCCATTCTTATGCTGCTAAATTAGCAGCTCAGCAATCTATATCATCTTATCTGACAGAGTCAAATAAACATAACATTAAATAATACTAATAAAAAAAATTTTCATTAAATTATTCATTTTGTAGAATTCACATATGTTTTTCGAAGAAAAGCAGTGAGTGAAAGTTGAAGTCGAGATTTTGTGGCTACTCCTTACCATCTTAGACCCTAGCAAGCGTAGACAACATGCACCAAAATCCTTCCCGTAGTTTCTTACCAACGGAAAGATAGTCAGGTTTAAACTGTTCTGGAATATTTCAAAGTCTTCCTTGAAAATTAAATAGCTGGAATATTTTTTTCAATGTTCTAAGTAGTGTAGGATTTTTGCCCCGATAAACTACTATATAATAGATGTCAATGATGACGGCTAGTGATGCATTGATTTGCTACAATTGCCAAATGATCGACACAAAAAAGCATAAACTAATCAAATTCTAACTTTCCACAGCAATCAATGTCAGTGATTCTGGATTTATCGAGATAAACAATAACGTGGTGAGACCTGCTGTAGATATAAAAAGTGTGTACAATAGGATTATTTGCCAGTTAAGTCAATGGTTAGAATAATAATAACAGTAAATTAAGGACAACGAAATAAAACAAAAGAAATTAAATAACGAGCAAATAGAAAAAAGTCAAGTAAAACAGAGTCCTAGTAAAAAAAAATTAAAAGAAAAAACATTGTTTCAAATGCAGAAATAATTAGACAGATCGTTTCTCTGCGATCGATCTTCATCAGAAAGCAATTCTTGTCTGTTAGAGATTTTTCACTTTATATATTTTGTATCATAATAATGAAACTGATGAAGTGATGTAAGTTTCAAATTTTAGCACCAAAGGAGCTACGCTCATGAGCTTTCTTTCTTATAATTCAGGTTTTCGAGCAAGAAAAAAGAACATAGGAGTAACTATGTCAAGTTTACCAGCATGTAATCCACTTTTAGCTGATTTTTGACACATATCACTTATTGCTGCAATGCCTTTAGAAACTACTCGAGTTTTTTCCATAAGCCAAATTATATTAAGTCCTAACCATCGGCCAAGAGGGCTTGTAAGAAAATGATTTAATGATAAAAATGAATCATAACCTTCTAGTCGTTGATAACTATGAATATCAGCTTCGGGTATTATTCGATTTTCTTCAGCAGTAATACCAACTGATTTAAGATCCGAAATTAATCCACGAGTTAATTTGAATTCGGGTAAGTCAAAACTTGATTCCAGCATATGTATTATTTCATTATCATCATGATTTTGATTATCATATTTATCAGTTAAATACATATCATAGCCAATACATGAGCCACCTAATTTAATTACACGAATAACTTCAGCGAAACATTTACGCTAAATATTTGTAGAAAAAAAAGACATTTTTTAAATAAAAAATACAATATTATACCTATTCTGATGCACGACATACAGATTCTATAGCATAAACATGATTAAAACTATTGTTTTCAAATGGTAAGTCCATGAAATCACCTTGAATAAATTGACAGTTAGCTGGTGCACCTGAAATAAAAGGTTTCAATTCATATTCGAAGTTTGCTCTGAAAACATCAATACAATGAATTCTTATCAATTGTTCTAGCACGTTGAACTTGATATTGACTAATTGTTATACCGGTAGCATGTGCTCCAGTTAAGTGTGCAATACGTCTTAATGATCCTCCAACTCCACAACCGATGTCAAGTACTTTATCTTCTGGTTTAAGTTGCATTCTTAATGCTAAACAAGATTCATGTCGTTGAATTGATTCTCCGAATGTTTCACCACGAAATCGATTAACACAATGAAAATTTTTACTCCAAGCATATTCATGACCATCTGTTGTTAAATTATAATAATTCGTTACTAACGTTTTATGTTGAACTTTTCTTTTATCGACAGATGTTGAATCTTGATATAATTCATTGTATGATGAAAGTTCTTTTTGAACAGCATCCTTTGAACGTCGTATAACTCCTTTTTCTCTCATTATTTTTCTTCTATAATGCTAATCAACGATTGCCTTTCAAACATATACGTATATATTTAAATGTCAGACACGAAAATCAAGCCAAAAATGAATACAATAAAATGAAAATATTAACTAATACGCTTTGATAATTTCTCTCTACCATTCTCTTTTCTCTTGTCTCTTTCTTCATATAAGTTTTTTTCTATTTGAAATATATGAAGGACATTTGCTCAAAATCGACTCGATTCATCTTCGTTTTGTTACTTTGATTTTCTTTCATGCGCTCTCCTCTTCTTCTCTCTCGTTTCGGTTCGTTTTTCCATTCTCTTGTACTGTTTTGTTGAAAGACTATTCCCTTCATAGTAATAAGATCATTATTGTATAATATATTTCCTTTATTCACTTGTGTGTTTGGGACTAAGAAAGAATACAAAGAAGAAAAAAAAGGAAAAGAAAGAACAGAACAAAATTTTTCCCACATATAAACTTGCCTTTTTCCGCTGGAGCAACACTAAGCATATTTTGTGACATGCAATGATGGCAAAAGAAAATGGAATATTAGAAAGAAGAAGAAATATTCTTCGTCAAACGAATGAACAAGTGAAATAATGTGCGTGATGTAAATTTTACCATTGTTGAATATTTCAACAATGGTAAAATTTACATCAGTCACATGATTTTATTTATTCGTGGTGAAATCTTTGTCCAGAACTATATCAATTATTGACCTATATATTCAGCGACATGATATACGTTACATTTTACATACTTACAGGATGGCTAAAAATTTTTTTTTTTTTTAGAAAATCAGAGTATATACCCGGACATCCTGTTTTTGAAAACATGTCGCGTAAGAAACATGATACCCAAATTCCTTTGATTTAAAACAGTAAGTGGGCGACTGTCATAAAAAAGAACGTATGGAGATAGTCATGTCGACTTTTACAAGAATAAATCAATTTTAAATACAAAGATTTATATCGAGCTAAAAAGTAGTTTCAATACAGTTGCAGCTTGTTGAAAGAATCCCCACCACGTTTAATTTTCATCGAGCCATAAATATCATCAAAACAACCATCGTTAATAATAAATTGAATAATAAGAAAATTGCAATTAATGAGAAATTAATAGCCTTTTTCACCAAGAAATCTCGCGAAGTCTCTGAAGACGAAAAGAGACAACGAAATATTCTTATATATCTTTGAAATCGGGTGCTGGCTCCCAAAGAAACATAGTATTGGATCTATGATCTTGAGTATGGGCTAGTCCCAATGAGTGTTGATGAATCAGGTATAGTCAGTCAGATGGGCCATTTTTCGAACATGTTACAAATATACATCAGAATCACAAGGAATTAATCTGTAATCTTCAATGTAGTGACAAATATATGGACAAAGATCCACACATTCAAACTTCGAATGAAATAAGACTTGTGAACCATCTTCAAACTCTCATAGACTCATTTATATGAAATGCTAAAATTGAAAGTGATAAACATTATCAAATGAGTGATAATACTAGAGAATATCAGAGAATTTTTAAAGATCTACGAAAAGATAAATCTATTGTCATCACCTATCCAGACCAAGGTTGTGGAATCGTTAATATGAACAAAGGTGATTAATATTAACAAAACGAATAACATGTATCATAAACAATCGAATTAAATTCAAACCGATAAGCACAGATCCAACTATCAGTCAAGAGAATGGTTTGAGTAATTTATTTTGACGACTCCCAAGCCAAGGGCAGATAGACAATGAATTCTACAGGAAAGCTCGACGAAGCACGCCTAACAACGGGCGAATTGCACGGGTTTCCAAAGATGCATAAAAAGAACGTTCCCTTAAACAATAAACAATATATATATATAACTATGGTCTTGGAAAGACCCTGATGAAAATATTTACACCTATTCGCCGTAGTAAAAGAACATTGAAGGATTATTTTTCATTTGTATATAATTTAAAACGCAAAAAACAACTATCATCACCAACAAAATTGATCTTAGGAGACGTGACGATTTTATGGACAAATGTCACCCAAGAGGAAACGATTGACATCTTCCTGAAATATCTTTACGAGATAATGGGAAGATCGCCATCCACAATGAAGCGAATAGACTTTCGAAAACTACTCATTTTCGCCACGAGAGCGTGGGTGTGGGATGTGCGTGCGAGTGGATGTTGGGTGTTGGTATCCACACTCACGTCCACATCCCACACTGACATCTCCATCCACACCCACTTCTAGTTTGTGTGTCTGTCTGCTTTTAGCAAGGTAAAAAAAACAACAGAGGTGAAGTTTATTTGGACGTAACTTCTAAAGTTTCCCTAAAGGGAATTGAGGTCGGGTAATTCGAATCCGAGGTTGGATTTTACAAACGGTCTTCCCATTAGCTAGAAACTCGATCAATCAGAAATGAGCCTTTTTTATTTTAAGCTTTTTGTACCTTTTGATGAAACTTTGTAGTAGGCTATCGACATCTCAGGATCCGAATATAAAGTCAGTTTTTCGATTTGAGCTTTCATTGGTCAAAATATGAACCAATGAGAAATGTGGGTTTTTATTTTCAGGGTTTTCGACATTTTGATAAAACTTTGCAATAGATTATCAATTGCCAGAAATCCGAATGTGAAATCGGTTTTTCGATTTGAGCTTTTATTGACCAGAAAAAAGACCAATCAGAAACGAGCGTTTTCCCCTCAATTTAAGGGAGAGTCGTGTGAAAAAAAAGAAAGTTTGTGATCTGGCAATCATTGGAAGAGTATCGCTTTCCAATGTGTTAGCGTGATTTCAGGTTTAATACTCGGGCTAACAATCAAATATATATGAAGTTTTTTCAGGCCGCCAGTTCAGCCAATTAAATATTTTTGGTATTTGGCAATGAATCTGTCAAGCATTATTCGACTAGCAGTAGTTTAATGTGTTTTCGTTTCTTTCCTTAGTAGGTGATGTGGTTAGAAAGGATTGATGTGTAATTGGAACATTTTCTGTGACACAAATGTGCAGTCAGGGGTAATTTAGATGATGTGCGCGTGACCTTAGCTGATGAGTTGCATCAAATCAGCTTTATTATAAGTTGTCCTATCTAGATGTGGTTCTCAAAACAGATATGTGCCATAGAAAAATATAACGCGTAGAATTCCATTCATGGAAAAACACATTGAGGGTTTCACGAACATTTGCATCCATGCAGACAAGTACGTTTGAAACTCAAAGTCTAGTTTTAGTCGATCCGACATTATTGGTATTTAAGTCTATTCTCATTATACTTTTTTCTGGCTAAGTAGTCAATTATTCACACATTTGTTTTAGGAGTTCTGACTCGTATAAGTTCTATAGACATTTTAACTTGAAAAAGCTAAAATCAAAAGATATTAGGAAATGAGGTCACAGCTTTTATAGTAAATGAAGCATAGCCAACTATTGTTTTAACGTATTTCAATAACGAAACCACTAGCCATAAGTGGCACCGACGCATGACTAGTTGCGAACATTGCACGGGCACTCTAAATTCGCTTCAGAAAAGATCTATGTAAAACTAGGTACTTTGAGAATAGTGCACTAACAATGGAAGGTCGCGTACTGTAAGTTAAGGAGATTGGACATATACGGGTCCAATGAAAGCTTTCACCGCTAAAGTAGCAAGTTTAAAATATTACGTGCCCATAGCGTACCTAGAGTAAGTTACTTAAATTTCAAGGTATGTGAAATTTAGGTATAAAAATGCATCAGACAAAGACTGGCACCACTATTGTAATAACAAAACATGCTGTTGTTCGAGGCATATGAAAGAGAACCTCTGCAAACCCATATATGTCAAATTTGAAACTTGAATTCAATTGAAGTTTCAACTTTCAAGTTTCAACTTTCAAGCCTCAAATGAGCAGCACTGTGAAGAATCACCACTAACCCGCATTCTCACACACACGTCATCGCAGCTGGTGAGGGTGCGACGAAAGGACTGGCCACGGAACGACACACATCACATCGCAGCTGGCGTGCGTGCCGCGAAAAGACTGCCAAGAAAAGGACCGGTCGCGAAACGACTTGAAAGTTGAAATTTCAATTGAATTCAAATTTCAAGTTTGACACTACTGTGCAAACCCTCATTCGGACCTAACAACGCTATGTTTTGTCCTTACAATAGTGGAGAAAATCTTTCCGGAGTCATTCTAATATCTGAATTTCACATACCTTGAAAATTAAGTAACTTACTCTAGGTACGCTATGGGCACGTAATTTTCAAAACTTGCTAGTTTAACGGTGAAAGCTTTCATTGGACCCGAATATATCCAATCTCCTTAACTTACAGTACGCGATCTTCCATTGTGAAATTCCCTTAATTAGGAATTCTAATAAAGCTCTGACTGTTTAGCTGCACAATTAGGTTGAAGAAATGAAAAATAGTTCATAACAAAGTGTTGGTTTGGTACTGCTCATCCAGAATTTTCATGTTATAAATCTAACGACTTTTCGAAGTAAGAGCAGCCTGAAATTCGATAGGGTCTAAATCAAAGACGATGATCTTATGAAAGATTAGAATTGCACATGGGAGTGACTAGTCGCTCGTCGGCGCCCCTCCGGAGCGTCACAGGCGAGTAGCCATTGTCCTGGAAAATTCCTTGAAGGAACGCGTCCAGCTGTTAGGATTCATCGGAAAAATGTGAACAGTTTAGATCTAATGGGTTTCAGTAGGGATCTAAAGTTGGAAAAAACTGAGAAATATTTTCAAATAAAGCATGAGAATAGTTTTTCTGTTCGGGCGCGATATCTGAATAGTATATTGGGCGAAAAATATCAATCAAAAAATTTAAATTCACTTTATCGGAGGCAAAATTGAATGAAATAAAATGAGTTTCCTGTCGGTATGTGTCCTTGTTGGTTTAGAAACTGTATTTTCTTAGGTACATAGTCAGCTAATACAGCATATGTTGACTTTATATTGTGTGTAAACGTATGAAAAAGAAGAAAATGATAGTGACTAATGCAACTTTTTCCAATTTGGTGAAAAT